AAGGGCCTGGGGCCAGCAGTCCAGGTACGGGCCTCCTTGAGCAGGGAGAGGCCATGTGGCCAGGTTGAGTGAGGCCTCAGCTACATGCCTGGGGGTGACAGTGGTGGCCTGTGTCCAGCACTTCCGGGCTCCGTAAGGAAAGAAACCCAGTTGCACCTGCACACCGCACGTGCCTGTCACCAGGGTCATTACAGCCTCGCAGGATAAAGACGCCTCCTTGTCACAGATGAGAGCATTAGGGTGCTGAGACCCTGGGAGGCACAGCTGCAAGGCCTGCTGGGTCATCAGCTGTGGGCCGGAGAGGGGATGGGGCCACGATGGGAAAGAGGAGTAAGGGAAGCGACAGCCTAGCCAGGATGGATCTGGGTAACCAGAGCCAGACACCGGGTCCGGGCCCAGCCTAGAGGTCGACATGCGGAGTGGTGGCTCAGGGTCAGCGAGCACCCAGCTGTCACCCCAGAGCCCCTGATGCCGGGCCCTGGGAAGCAAGACCCCTTCCAGACCCTCCCCCTGGCCCTGTGCCGTCCTGCTGGCCGTGGCCCAGACCGGCTCTGGACCCGGCCAGAGCTGCATCTGGACGGCGAAGAACTTCTGCTCCAGGGGGTGGCTCTGGGAGTGGCAGGGACAGCCCTGAGGGGGCGGTCCCTGGAACACGGTGCCCAGGAGGGCTCGGGCAGAACCCAGGCCCCGAGCCTCTTGCTGACCTCATGCCCCCGGAACCCAAGTTCCCATCACTGACCTGCTTTTGACTCGGGGGTGATGGTTTCAGGCCCGGGGAACAGAAGACCCTCTAACTGACGGAAAAATGAAGCAGACTGGTCACACAGGATGCAGAGGGCAGGGCAGGTGGCCTCAGGCGATGAGCCGGCTCATCCCACTCTCTCCATTGCTGGCCTCTTCTCCCTGGATGGGAGCTCTGGGGAGGGGGAGATGAGTGAGGTCCTGGGGAACTGGTCTCGGGGAGCCAGCTGCTAGAAGGTATGGGGGGTTGCTGGAGCCCTGTTGGGGGGCTTTCTCCCCTCTGCTCTGGCTGGTTGGTGCCTCCCATTGGCCCGACCCTATCACATGCCAGCCAGCACAGGGGCCCACATGCAGCCCCCTCCCAGGGCGCGGAGCAAGGCAGATGTGATGGGAGGTGGATTCCCGGTGCCACGCCCTGGGGCGTCTCCTAGGGCCTCCCTCCCGCCTGCTCTGGCCGGTGGCTCATGTCCCCCTGGCCTTGGCCTCCTCCAGGGAAACAGCTCAGTGTCACGGCATCGAGTCCTGCCTCTCGGTGGCCTGACACGGGTCCCAGGGGACTCCATCCAGCCTGGCTTCCTGCAGCGTGTGGGGCGGGCCCAGCCCCAGAACATCGGCTGTGATTAAGAGCTTTCTCCACCCGGGCTCTGTGGTGGCCACAGAACAGCTGTATATAGCTTGTCGGGCCGCCGTAGCGAGCCTGCGGGATGCCAGCCCCGCTGAGAGCCTCCGCCTACTTCTATTTCGAGGACGCTGTGGTGGTCCCTTCTCCCCTCTCCCCTCTCGCCTCTCCCACGGGCCAGGGACACGACCCTGGGTCCGATCTTTTAGCTCCTGGACAAGGGGGCTGAGATGTTAGCGGGGATGAGCGCCAGGAAGGAGCCTCCCATCCTTGTAGGGCTTGTCTCCTGGCGCAGGGTCACCCTCCGTCTCTGCTTGATGTGGTCGCAATCAGCTCCAGCGCTGCTCCGAGGAGAGCTTGGCCGCTGGACACTGTACTTCCCCCGTGGGCGGGACAGAGGCAGAGACAGACAGAGAAGGTGCCTCTTTGGGGGAGACTGATGTGTTGCTCTCCCGAAGTTCTCACTGGGAAACTGGGGGTGTCTGCACCCAGCGCGGCATTTGGATTAGGGCGGCCTCAGTCTCAGCTCCCGTACGTGAGCCCAGCCCCTCCTCACAGGGGTGAGCACACAGTCTCCTTCCTGACATGCTCCTGCCCGGTCCTCCTGTCCTCCGCCCGGCCCAGGGACTCTGCAGTGAACTCGGGGGGACACACACACACACACTCTTACACACACACACTCACTCACACACACACTCACACACACAGCCCAAACACACACACACAATACACCCCCCAAACACACATACACACTATATACACACACAGCCTAAACACATATACACATTACTTACACATACACCACACACACATACACCATATGCACACACACTAGATACACACATATACCACACCCATCCACACACATCCATGCACATACATCATATACACACACACACACACACACATCACAGGTACACCACACACACCAAACACATCCACAACACATCCACATGCGCGCACACATGTAACACACAAACACACATATAGATCACATATGCATACACACATACACAACACACATATACACATACCCCCTAAAATACACCCCCCCCCACACACACATCTGGGAATATGCATGTGGCCTTGAGGTGACCCACCAGCTGGTCCCTGGGTGGATCCGGAGCCCAGGAGGCATTGGCGGCGGCATCGGCTGTGGGCTGGGAGCCGCCACGTGGATGCCTGTGGCTGGGCCCCGGGCGGGTCAGCCTCGGGAAGCAGTGCAGGCGAGGCCCGCCCTTCCCCCCGGGTCACCGGGAGTGCCTCCGGGAACAACTTGCTATGCTCGAGGTCACCCTAGAATAGTCCTTGGGCTTCTTAACTCTGACCATGTGTTGAGCAATTTTATTAGAAACTGACCGAAGCTGATGAAACACTGAGAACCACCCATAATTTACTTTTAATTTGTTTACAGCACAAAGGCTTTGGCAGCCAGGCCCGAGCCTGGCGATGACCCCGGGAGCCCTGGGTGCCCCGAGCCTGCATGGCCACGTACAGAACCGGACAGCTCTGCCTTTAGCTCTGTGGGACCGGGGACTGTCCCACTCACCCCGTCTCACTCTTAGAACGAGTATGTCCCACTCGACCGTGGGGGCACATTCCCTTATTTCCTCAGCTCTCTCCACACTGACCCGCGGCCACTGTGCCGCTGGGAGTGTGTCCTGCCACGCGTCCCAGCTCACGGGGCTTTGGCTGCGTGTTTCACACGGTGGCCTCAGTTTTGAGTTGATAAAGGGACAGAATAGAGTGGCCACCACCAAATTGGCACTTGCAAAAAGCATGTGTCCATATGCACCGTCTATATAAACCGACGTCTGTAAATACAGCTCCTTGTAATTAAGCCCACGGAGGAAGGCTTGGTGTCTGTGTCTCCCGCCCTGTGGCTGCCCTTGTCCTCACTGAACTCGTTTCACACTCGTCGGGGGAACGGGGGGCTTGGGGCTGCACAGCAGGTCGGGGCTCTCCAAGACGTGTGGCTGGTGAGCATGTGCCCCGGGCCAGCCGGCCACTTCCCGGAAGGCCGAGGCCTCCAGCTGTCAGCGGCTGCTCAGGTGACGCGTGTGACTGAAGCGTGTCCGTCCTTGTCCTTTTAATTAGAGACCCTGGTTTCTCTGAGTCTGTCCCCACCCGGACACCTGTGCAAACCCACACACACTCACACTCACACCAACACAGACACGTGTATCCGCGCGAACACCCAGGGACACACTCACACATGCCCAGGTGTGCACACCCTAGGCCAGTGATGGCGAACCTATGACACGCGTGTCAGAGGTGACACGTGAACTCATTGTTTTGGTTGATTTTTCTTTGTTAAATGGCATTTAAGTTTATAAAATAAATATCAAAAATATAAGTCTTTGTTTTACTATGGTTGCAAATATCAAAAAATTTCTATATGTGACACGGCACCAGAGTTAAGTTAGGGTTTTTCAAAATGCTGACACGCCGAGCTCAGAAGGTTCGCCATCACTGGCCTAGGTGCATGCATGTGCGCACACTCCCCTCCACTCCGGCCCTGGGCAGCCCACGTGCGGCGGCGGGAACGGCTTTAAAGCCAGCGCACCTGACGCCTGTGCCCTGGGAGGGCCCCGCACCCACTTTCAGAAACTCTGACCAGCCGACTGGCTGCGCTGACAGATGCCTGGACGGTGCTGTGTGTGTTTGTTTCTTATAAAGGTTCTTGTTTACATCAGCCTAGCAGGTGTAGGAAGGAGTGGGCAAGGGGGCTCTGTGCTCATTGCCTGGGGGCGCCCTGGGGGGCCTGGCAGCAGGAGGCAGCGCTCCCTGGCAGGGAAAGTCCTGGGTCTTTCCCTGGGTCAGTATCTG